AGGAGTGGAGGTTTTGGGTAGATGGGGCAAAGTCAAGGAGGAGGAGGAGGAGGAGGAAGAGGAGGAGGAGGAGGAGGAAGAGGAGGAGGAGGAGGAGGAAGAAGAGGAGGAGGAAGTAATGGAACACAAGAAGCAGACGAGGGGTGGGGTGCAGGTCACCTAGCAAGATCCAGCTGATGCTTCTTATGCTTCATGTCTGCCTTCCCCAGTCAGCGTGTGCAGATTGAGAGCAGAGGACTGGCAGTTCCTTCTTGCTCCAGGAACTTGTCGATCATCGATTGGACGTCGCTGACTCGAGTCGTCAAAGTTTGACTAGCCCAACAGCTGCCTGCCCTCTCACCGACTGAAACGATCGTTGAAACGCCTCTCTGACTTCTTCACAGCTGGTTTCTTGAGCACCTGAGCACAACAGTAAGTGCAGACTTCGCGCCAGGAGCTGCGAGGGGATGCGGTCCGACCTCCTCGTATTCGCCTGTGGGGATTTTGCTGTATGACTCCACAACCTGCGGGGTAGAACATCAAAGATGGGAGATAGAGGACAAATCGACATGACCTTGATCCTTGAGTTGTCTCGAGACAATGTCGAGTTCTGCATGACGAGCTCTTTACGGAACCTCCATTGTTCCGTCTGCGGCAGGTGTAAGATTTCATCACAACCAACACCACCAACACCATCTCCTCCTCCTCCTCCTCCTCCTCCTCCTTTTCATCCTCCTCCTCCTCATCTTTACCTCTGAAACTTCCGATCCAAGTGGATAATCGAGGATGGCACTCTCCGTCTTCAATTGCTCGGAGATTGTTTGACCCATCGGTTTAGCATCGACGATGGGGTATAACAGAAGGCTCAAAGGATCTACAAGCACGGCAACTTCAAGAGATGAAATGACCGTCTGTGTCTTCACCTCCCACTGTCTGCTTCACTTGCTCCGGCTCGATTACACCACGAGTTGGCCAGCTTGACGAAATCTCAATTGAAAGTTTGAAATTATCAAGAGAAAATCTCTCAACCTGGTGAGTACTGGACAGTCAGCTTTGCAGATTTCCTGCATCTTCTTCTTGGTTGCCGTCAGAAGATCCTGGACAATGTGAATGCCAAACGTTCGTATCTGACTGATCCTCGTCTGTACCTGCACAACTTTGTCGTCTGCAGATTGAGTAGCTGCCATACCCCTTGTCACTTGTCTGATCTCAGCCATCACAATGTATACCCGTGAAACGAGCCTTGACAGACTTGAGAGCTTCAGCACTGATGCTTGGAAGATCTACTCACTCTTTCAATGACTAGGAAGTGTATCCCATCACAACACAATACCTGTCGTCTTTGACTTGTTCACTGCTGCCGGTTGGCTGTCAGCTACGGTTTGGTTGCCAGATGACACAGGTGCAGTCTTCTCTTGGACTTCATGTACAGGCACAGCCTTCTCTTGTGCTTGATGCCACGTATAAGAAACCAGGACAGGGAGGAGTTGAGCACAAGGAGTTACCGACTGGCGGATTAGGTTGAGCAGCCGCTGCCTGCGACTTCTTGCCTTTCGCCATGGTGAGCTGCCGATGAATGTGAGGAAGGAAAGAGGACAAGCAGACTCAGCGAGCTTATGAATGCAAAAACTTTCATGCCTGAGCATGGAAGGGCAGACGATCGTTCTGCAAGGTGGAAGACTACAGAAGGGAAGAATGAATGTATATCGTACACGGTAGGACAGGTGAGAACTAGGAGGAGAACAAAGAGCAACAATTCTGGGGTGCCAGCAAGACAAGATATCATGTCACATGATCATCACCATCACCATCACCATCATCACCATCACCATCATCATCACCATCATCATCATCATCACCATCATCAACATCATCAACATCATTCGGAAGGGTTCTCATCATTCGTCAGGGAAGGGTCATTGCGCAGAGGAAAGTTGGACCAACCCCTACCTGGAGACTCCAAGAAGTACCTGGTGCTTTTCCTTTGAATAATGGGAAAGAGGGGGTGAGGTACTTCAGAACCACCCTACCCCCCTGGGCCAGTGGGACATTGCATGGACCTGATTTTGACTACTTTGGTGGGAGGAACAGCAGCCACATCCCCTCTCAAGCCCGAGAGTCTAAGCCCACCTGAGCCCATACCTGCCCATGAAGGAGCCCCGGCCAGGCTCTTTCAGGGCTATCATGGCAGGCATGTATGATGGCTCCCGTCGCCCGCCCAGTCCCGACGGGCCCAGTGACGGAGCACACTCGGAAGTTTGTTAGGCTTGTTCGGGGCTATCTGACTGGCACGGCTGGCATGTGATCCATCACCCAGCCCGGCTGGCCGCGGTGGCCACCTCCCGAGTACGGCAACCTCGGCGGACCGCACGGCACCGGCGCCGTCCGGCCGGGACCCGGTGAGGCTCAGTGACTTGTGACTGGACCCCGGGCCCTGCGGCGTGACTGTCCGAACTTGAGTGAGTGAATCCGGGTGAGCCCGGTACCTGTCGGAGTGTTCGGCCCTATCAGTGACCGACTGAGGAATGGAGGGCGAAGTTGAAGAGTAGGAGTAGGAGAAGAGCCAGGGAGGAGAGGAGGAGCGAGAAAGACGACGATCAGGTGCAGAGAGCAGGAGGGACGTGAAGCTTCCTCTTGTCAACATGGACAATCTCTGTTCGGTGATGATCAACGGGATCAGGTAGAGCCGCTCGTTGGGAGGCTTGCGACAGCAGAAGCTGCTGCTGAGACTTTTGCCTTGCCGACTTGACCCATGTCATTCCAGAGGAACAAGGAGAAGTTGGAGCTCCCTCCTCTCAGCAGACATTCTCCATCACATGTTCGCTCAGCTCAGATCGACAGCGACAAGGAGTCTGAGAGGGACAGTCACGATTGGCTGATCCTGGCCAACTGTCAGGAGCGGGTGATATCCTTCACAGGGGTGATCGATGTCAAGAACTTCGGCATCACAAGTCACATGTGTACAACCCTTGCTAAACGATTGTCCAAGGTCAGCAGCCATGTCAAGTCCATCGACCTGAGCTCGAACCCCATCAAGACACAAGGGCTGCTGTCGCTGTCGGGGCCTTTACAAGCTTTCACAACCTTGTCGAGGCTCAACTTGTCGTCTTGCTCTCTCAACTTCCCAAGGTCAGCGTCTTCAAGCAGCAGCGCTGACGACGGTATGGCTGCCAAGAACTTCTTCGATCGGATTATCAGCCCGTCCCTCGCGCTCACTGCTCTCGACCTGTCGAACAACAACCTCGGGCCGGACGGTTTGAAGGCTCTGCAGCAGGCGAGCTCGAGGCGGTTGCTGTGCAACGTCAGAGAGCTTGACGTGTCCCGGTGCGGGTTCGATCATACCTCCTCCTTCTACGCCAAGCAGCTTCTCTTCAACCTGAGCAGCCTCACCCGGCTCAACCTCGCCGACAACTCTCTTCGCAACGCCGCAGCCGAAGACGTGATCGCTGGGCTAGAGAAGTGCACAGCGTTAGAGGATCTGAATCTCTCCTTCAACGGGTTTGGAGGAGACAAGACAGCTGAGCTGCTTACAAGGTACCTGAGCGAGGCGTGTTGCTCGAAGCTGAAGCGACTGAACTTGAGTCACAATCGATTCGAGCTCCGGCTTGCTCAAACCTTCTCCCTATCGTCTCCTTACCGATGCGGCGCCAGCCATTGTCAGAACTTCGTGCGAGCAGCGATGTACCTCATGCGCTACCGGAGCTCTAGGGAGTTTTACAGCAACACCGAGGTACTCGAGAACGCTCACGAGAAACATAGCAAGATCGGAGTCAAGTACGAGAATATGTTGAAGTCCGGTGAGTTCACCGGTTCTCTTGTGACAGTGCTGTTGAAACTGAAACGATCGTCTCCTCTCGTGTTGGAGTTGTTGGACATATCCGGCAACTTGCTCTCTTACGAGGCCGAATGCCTTGTGTTGTATCTCTTCTCCACTTCTGCTGATACCTTGAAGTGCCTGGTGGAAAAATCGTCAGATGTTCATGGAAGGGAGAACTCAAACTTCGTGTGGTTGGAATCGAAGGCAGAGAGGGGCTTTCCTGTGACTGCTCTTCAAGTCAACGGGCTTCCAGTAGTTCGGGCGTCATCGAGCAAGATCCTGCTGTTTCTGAACCAGCACAAGTTCGATCCTGTAGCAGCGTTCCCGATCACATTGGAGTACAAGTGTCAAGTCATTTCAAACTTGTCAAAGAGTATCTTGACAGACCTCACCGAGGATGTCAATCGACTGCAGCACAGGTACGACTCAGTCGGTGACTCTTGCCTGACGACGGACGCGATTGTAGAGGCTGTACATGTTCTGATCAGGCAGGAGAACTCAAACCCCTTGGGGTACTGGGATGATACCGTCTTGTCTGTCATCGAAAGGTTGCACGACCAGCCGTTCCTCAAGTCAGGCCCTGGCGCAAAGACTCTTGCGATGGAGGTAGAGGAGGAGGAGGACAAGGAGGACAACATGGAAGAGCTGCTGATGCTCTCGAAATCAAACAGCTTCTACAAGAAGCAGCGAGCAAACACCTCCCGCTGGTTTCAAGTCCGCAAGAAGCTCAACTTCGCGGAGGAGAGTAAGTTGCCTATGGCTGATCCCCTCGGCCTCCTCGTCGTCCCTCCCGCCATCGCTGGCCTGCCCTCCTTCGCATGCGCCCAGCATGTGTGCATGAACGACAGCACGTGCGGCGATTTCATGGTGGCGCACGAGGTAGACGAGAAGGGGGAGTACCTGCAGCAGCCGCTGTTCTACGAGGGTTTCTCAGCTCCTTCCAACGGAGTCATGATGAAGTCCCTCGAATACCGAGGAGACGTGCTGGGCGTGGCGAACCTGGCGGTGAGGTATGAGACCTCGGAAAGCTTCTGGAGCTCTCTCAACAGACTGCGAGAGTCTCTCCCCTCTCACCGAGACGACATCTTCGTCGCCTCCATCGACTGTCCTGAGATGCTCATCATCGGGGAGACGTTCGAGTTCGCCTACGAGTACATGGAGACCGAGCGCAGGATCCCGGACTCCTACCGCTCCGACTACTTCGCGCTCTTCAAGTGCCATCAACCCAACCAGGACGTGTTTGACCTGCAGGAAGACACTCTGTTGTGCAAGATCAGACCTCCTCACCCCCGTCGAGCTCAAGTCCAGCTGAGGCACGTCAAGTGGACCCCTGGGACGTACAGGATTGTGCTCTTCTTCATGAACAGCGAGACTGTCGTCGGTCGCAGCCCTGACTTCACCGTCAAGTACGCCACCGCATCCTTGACCTGCGTCCCGGAGGTGACGGTCAAGACCAAGCAGCTCGAAGTCCAGTACTCCCTTGACTACCCGCACTGCATGCACCCTGACACTGACTGGATCGGACTCTTTCCCCACGACTCCAACGTGCGCTCGGAGCAGGACGCGCTCTTCAAGTGCAAGGTCCCCTCCAAGAACGCTGGGTCCGCCGTCATGGCGATCAACAACCTGCCGGTGGACGAGCTCTACGACGTGACGTACATTCAGAAGATTCAGGAGGAGCGGATTATCCTCGGGAAGACGACCCTCAAGGTGGTGCCGAACCCGCCCGAGGTGCTGATCAACTTTGAGAGGACGTCGCAGCGAGACAAGAGCGATCGCAACATCCGCTTCTACCTCTCCTGCTCCCATGACGACATGCAGGAGGAGAGGAATCTGATCCACAACGACCTGATGCCCAGGTTGAGGCAGTTTGCCGACTCGATCCGGGTCTCGATCACAGTGGTGGACCTTCGGTTCGGGATCTCAGAGCAGGTCATGGAAGAGATGAGTCAGAGCCTTTCCCTCTCCCATAGGAACCTGATCGACATCTGCCTCGACGAGCTTGAGAAGTGTCTCCCCTACTTCCTCTGCTTCCTCGGCAACGTCTACGGCAAAGTGCCCAAGTCCATCCCTTCCTCCTCCTCCCGGTCGTACCCCTGGCTCACGGACCGTCGCTTTCAGAACGCGAGCATCTCGTACGGGGCGCGGCTGAGCCTGACGGAGATGGAGGTCACCAACGCCATCCTCGTGCAGGCGGCCAACAGCCCGCAGGCTCGCTTCTACTTCCGTGATCAGAGCTACGCCCACGGCCGCGGTTCCAGCTTCGCCGACTCGTCGGACGGGGCGAGGCTGGCGATGAACTCGCTCAAGTCGAGGATCAGGAAGGTGGTGGACCTGTCGGCGTCCAAGAACCCGGACTACTGTATGCGCATCCACCAGTACTTCGACCCCCGCAGCCTCCTGCCTGTCATGCAGCGAGACTTGAGCGACGTTATCGAGGCTGACTTCCGCGCGAGGCCGGAGGAATCGGACTTGTTCTGGAAGGACCTGCGGTCTGTCGGGCGGCAGCACCTCAAGAAACTGCAGCCGCAAACTGCTGCGCAGCTGAGAAAGCTGACCGAGCTGGAGGCTGAGCTGGACAAGTGGCTGAGACATGGAGACGTAGGCAACAAGATGGTCTTGTACGGCCCCAAGGGATCGGGGAAATCATGCATCCTGACGTACTGGCTGGAGAAGCAGGTGGCGAGGTGGGAAGGAAGGGTGGTCCCCAGCTGGGAGGAGACGAGCTGCGTCCGTTACTTCACGGCAGCTGGGGAGGAGGAGCAGTTCTGTGTTATGTCTATCAGCTGCGGCCTGCATCACCGGCTGAGGCGGGGCTACGACGTGTTGAGGATGATAACGCTGAACCTGCGACTGAAGTTCGACTTCAAGTTCCAGGACGAGGACTTGAAGGATGAGTACATCACTAGGGCGCTGAAGGAGGTGCTAGACGGGTTTCCTCGTCACTGCACGTTCATCTTCGTGGTTGACGGGCTCGACCATGTCGTCAGCCCCGTCAACTCGGTTGGTTGGATCCCAAACACAGAGAACAACAACATCAAGTGGGTCGTGTCGACTTCCGACCCCACCACCAACAGGCTTCTCTGCTCCTCAGAGAGGAAATTCCTCTGCATCGAGCTGGAGGAGTTGGAGGAGGAGCAGCGGCGGGGGATGGTGGAGAGCTTCTTGACAAGGTACCAGGTGAAGATGGATGAAGAGACTCTAGAGCCTCTCTTGTCCTTGCCGACCCTGTCGGTACCTGAGAACGTTCACATTCTCCTTGAGGTGCTGAAGTGCGCCAACGACGCCGAGGAGAGGAAGGAGCAGCTGGAGCAGCTGCTGGGGATGGAGAGCCTGACGCAGTACACCTCCACCCTGCTGGGGCTCTACCGGCAACGAGCTCCCAGAGTAGACACGTTCCTCCACTTCCTGTGCCTCGCAGAGACAGGGCTCTTTGAGAACGAGCTCTGCTCTCTGATGCGAGTCCCCTTTGAGCTGAGCTGCCTGCGCTGGCTGGAGCTCTTGGACGTCACGAGGGAGGTAAGCTACACCTATGATGGAGTATGGAAGATGTTCGACCAGTCGTTTGCTCGCATCTACTCGCAGACAGCCATGTCCAGCAGCTCCCGGCTCGAGCACCTGGGAGCGATGGAGGCGTACTTCGAGACGATGCCAACGTGCAACAGGAAGATGGACGAATTTCCCTTCGTGCTGGAGAAGCTGGGAAACAGGGAGGGGCTCGAAAAGCTCATCATTGACATCCCCTTCTTCCTCAGGATGTACTCGGACCCCATCCGCCGCCTGCAGTACCTCCGGTACGTGAAGGAGCTGGGCAAGACCAAGGACGACCTGCTCCTGAAGCTGAGAAATCACTTTGAGTACCACTTCAGCATCAGCAACCGCTGGTTTAGCGTCGCCCATCACCACTCCGGCACCTCCGCCCTCCATCACGAGCTAAACCCTGTGATCTACCAGTCGGAAGAGCAGCTGACTTACTTCGTCGACGTGATTTTTCACCTTTCCTCCCTCTTCGAGATGTACGGGAGGCACGAGGAGGGTATCAGAGACCTCGAGTCTGGCCTCAAGTGCCTGTACGGCACCTCCGACATCTTCAAAATTCCCTCCATTCATCAGCAGCACTGCCGCTTTCCCCACAAGGTCCTCCTCTTCCTTGGCAGGCTCGCACGCCTCTATACTCTTCACCTGCACGCCATGCACGCGTTCTGGTCGGACGTGGATCTGGAAAGGAACATAAAGAACAAGGTAAGACTACTTTCCTGCTCCTGCTCCTGCTCCTGCTCCTGCTCCTGCTCCTGCTCCTGCTCCTGCTCCTGCTCCTGCTCCTGCTCCTCGCCCTCCTCCTCCCTCTCCTCCTTACAACTCTCACAGATTCCTGACCACCTTCACGGCATCGACGTGTCCTGGTGGACTTCGGAGGTTCCAGGAGGGAGTGCGAGGACTCTCCCTTCCAAACTCCAGCTGATATTCCAGCTGGCAAGATCGTTCATGAAGGAGACGGAGGAAGGGAAGTACGAGCTGAAGAGGAGGTGACGACGCAGATGTTCTGTAGAGGGTGATGACGATGACGTGGGTTGCAGTGAGTGGGAGATCATCAACGAGATCTTAGAGAAGGAGCGAAGGGACTCTGCCATGACAGACCTTGTCTGGCACACGGCTACGAAGCGGTTCGTCAGCAGACCGAGCAAGGCTGGAACCACGGGGACAACAACTGCGATCGATAAGAAGAAGAAGACTGGAAGGAGGAAGGGGAATGATGTTTGATTCTTGTGTAAATTAGCACTCAACTGTAAAGATACCATCAAAGATGCTCCTGCAGCGCTGAAGGGAGGACAGATACATCCCCAGTCAGAATCTGCTTCCACGTCAGTCACAATCTCTTCCACCTCTCTCCCTGTCTCTCTGCCTGCCTGGCTGCCTTTCCCCTCCTTCCCCCTCCCCCTCCCCCTCTCCCTCTCCCTCTCCCTCCCTCCCTCCCCCCTCCCTCCCTCCGCCCCTTGCTGCCTCCTCCTCGTCTGACCGCTTCTGCAAGTTTCTCCGCCAGCAGCGCGTGGTGTATCAGCCCCCTGCATGCCGTCATCAGCTCCTTCCCTACCGGGAGAAGTTTTACCGGGAGCCGAGCCCAGTACAGAGCCACACGGGCCTCGACACCCCAGCGACGTCGAGGAGCCTGGGGGGGGGGGGGGTGGTCAGCAGCGTGAGGGAGGCAGTAGCGGATTGACGTACCTCCCGCACATTGGGATGGAGCCTTCCGGTCCTCGGGGAGGAGAAGCTTTCACGCCCACCACAGCTCGGGCTGGGTACCAGGCGTCTGATTGCAGCGGCTGAAACAGCGTGCAGAGCTCGTGGTAGATGTTGTCTGCGGACAAGAGATGAGGCTGGCTTCATGGAGGAGGAGGAGGAGGAGGAGGAGGAGGAGGAGGAGGAGGAGGAGGAGGAGGAAGAGGAGGAGGAGGAGGAGGAGGAAGAGGAGGAGGAGGAGGATTGTCACCTAGGGCAGAAGTTACATTGGACTCCCTGTTCCATATATCCACGTTCTCTTGTGTGGCCCCACAGATCAGTTGATCAGGGCTAAGATCAAGCCCTCTTCCTCCTGCCTCCGAGACGAATGGCACTACGTATCGTCCTGATATCACAGGGACCTGAAGCCTCCCGGGATCGCTCTTGCTGCGACTGCAGTCATATAGAGTTAAACAACTCCAGCCAGCCACCTGCTCTCGTTCCTCAAGAACACGATGTTCTGCGCCTTCACCGGCTTGATCGGCAGCTCCTCCAGCTCTTTGATCCGGATGCTCCCTGCTCGTCGACGGATGTCAAGGTGACTCACAACCCCTCTGTTTCCCTCACCTGCTCCCGCGCACACCACCAGCTCGTCTGCCTGCTGAAGGTCCAGCTGGGCGAGACTTTCGACTCTCTCCCGTCGCCACGTCACGTTCCCGAGGGACTGACAAGCGCGAAGCAGCGCCCGAGCATAGACCGGCCCCCGCACCGCCATGCCGCTCTTGACGAGCAGAGCATGGCTCACGTTCTCCGAAGGCCCCCGGTACTCGCTCTGGTCCACCTCCTTCAGCTCGACCTCAGCAGGGAACATGGCGGCAGACTTCTTGTAGTCCTCGAGCTGCTTCTTCCCTTTGGTCACCACCCTCAAGATCCCCCTCCCCTCCCCGTTGAAGAAGACCTCCTCCTCGGAGAACTGCTGCGCTACTCTTAGCAGCCTCCTGGTAGCCTCCATTCCCTCGTCTCCCTTCCATAGCTTCTTCCCCCTCGGAGTGAGGGGATGCAGCAGCCCTGCCATGGCCCCTGTCGCGCCTCCCTGCCCCACGTCCTGCTCGTCGACTATCACACAGTCTACCTTGCCCGAAGACATTCTGAGAATGTTATAGGTGATCGCAAGACCCACCATCCCTCCTCCGACGAGCACGATCCTCTTGTGCGCCCCCTCCTCGCATGCAGCAACTATACGAAAGGCTCTTGTACCAGTCCTCTGGGCAGATAAGGATTTCGTAGCTGTTGGATTGTGGACAGACTGGAACGTCAAGGGAAAATGGCAGGGAGCAGGGAGAGGTTTGGAGGGATGTGGAGAAGTGGATGGTATGAAGGAGGGACGAGGGTGAAAGTATGAACAGAAACATGTTGAAGGTGACCTTGAGGAGGAGGAGGAGGAGGAGGAAGGGGGGAGGAGCAGGAGCAGGAGCAGGAGGGCTTGTGTAGCCATCGTCCCCCACGGATTCTTGGTTGGGGGTGACTATGACAGAGGGGGTAGAAGAAGGGAATAGAAGGGGTGGGGGTGATCGATGCGGCCAATGAGGGGAGCAAGGATGACTAAGGAAGTCGATGGGGAGAGGAGAGGAGAGGAGAGGAGAGGAGAGGAGAGGAGAGGAGAGGAGAGGAGAGGAGAGGAGAGGAGGAGGGG